CCAGCAGAGGTGCCCAGCAGGGCTCCTGGGGTGGCTCGGGATCCAGGAGATGGCCCCGGCAGGAGCCGTGAGTCCTCCAGGACGGGCACCTGATGAAGACACCCTACAGGGCAGAGGGAGAGGAAGGGAGGGGGCTGGGGCTGCTCCTGCAGGGGCTGGAGTGAGGCCCTGGCTGTGGCTTCTGGTGTCGGTGGGCTCTGGCCTTCCTGGCTCCTGGCTGCCAGTGTGTGACCCAGCCCCTGCCCCACAGGAGGTGCGAGTCCTCAGGCAGCGGTTCCGCAACCCGGTGGGCCTGGCGGCTGGCTTCGACAAGCAGGGCGAGGCTGTGGACGGGCTGTACAAGATGGGTTTTGGCTTTGTGGAAGTAGGGACTGTAACGCCTAAGCCCCAGGAGGGGAACCCCAGACCCAGGGTCTTCCGGCTGGCGGAGGACGAGGCGGTCATTAACAGGTGGGATCTGAGGGTGGCTGCTCTGCGGTATCCCACAGACTGCCCGCCCAGAGGGAGGGCATTTATTTGAGTGGTCCCGGTTCTGCGGTCTGTACTCTGGTGGCTCTCCAGTTGGATGTGCTGAGCAGAGCTGCAGAGACCGTATGTCTCCCTCGTGTTTCTCCTGTGTCCTGCTCAGGGCTTGTGGACACCAGCCCAGCCCTGAACCTTATCTGTTCTGGTGCAGGTATGGATTCAACAGCCACGGCCACGCTGCAGTGGAGCGCAGGCTGCGGGCCCGCCAGGAGACGCAGCTTAGGCTCACTGGTGGTGAGACAAGCTTATAAGTCCTTGTTCTTGGGGTCTGCAGGGCGCGTTTGGGGGTCTTCCAGGAAGCTGTAGACCAGGAAAGGTGTGTAATGCCAGTGTCCAGGCACAGGAGGGCCCTAGCCAGAGCGAGGTACATTCAGACAGCAGGAACCTACTTGGGGCTGTAGCCTCTCCCCCTTGGGACTGTGACCAGGTGCCTTTTTCCCATCATTTTCCCTGCGATAGAGGCTCTGCTTGCTACTTTGAGCAGGACGTGTCTGCTGAGACTAGCCAAAGCCGATAGGGCCCGAGCTGGGCATTTTCCGAGGGCAGCCTCCACCGGGTGGCCAGGCTGGAGGCTGCAGTGCTGGGAGGTGCTGACCGGGGCAGCTGTGGTGATGCTGCTGTGGCTGCAGGACAATCCCAGGCCCATCCCAGTGAAACACGTGGGCTGCATATCCCCGTCTTGATCTTAGCTGGTCCTGGGGCCTCCATTGTTGGGCACTCTGGCCCCTTGGGTGGTGGTTGGTCCTGCTGCCCTGGTTCAGCCGTGTATGTGTTCCAGCGGGGATGCCCCTTGGAATCAACCTGGGCAAGAACAAGAGCTCTACTGATGCTGCAGCTGACTACGTGGCTGGGGTCCGGACACTGGGCCCTTTGGCTGACTACCTGGTTGTGAATGTGTCCAGCCCGAACACCCCAGGGCTGAGGGACCTGCAGGGCAAGGCTGAGCTGCGGGACCTGCTGACCAAGGTGGGTGACCCTCACAGCCAGCCCAGACCACAGCTGCAGCACTGGATGCATCCCGTCCCCTGGCAGTGCCTGCTCTGCTCCATCCAGTGGGTTTGCCCCAGCGCAGGGAGGAGCATGGTGGCTCCCCAGAGTGGTGTGCAGAGCCACTGAGATGTCCCCTGATCAGCTGCTGGTGCAGGGTTCACCGGGGTGTTGTACTCCAGCAAAGGGCATGTGAGCAGTAAGGCATTGCCCTCCGCTTTGCTCCTGCAAAGGGGCAGTGAGCCACCCATGCCACAGCATCAGGAGTCGCTGTGGTCCTGTGCGGGCTGTGTGCCCCAGGCCCTGTGCCATTGGGTGCCCGTCCCATCGGCAGCACCATGTAGGGAGAGCAGGGCCTGTCCCTGTGCTGCCTGTGGCGGTGGGTGCACGCGTCTCCCCGGTCTAGGGCAGGAAGTGTTCCCCCACCACATACTGCTCTGTGCCCTCGCGTGTCCCCCTGCAGGTGCTGGCGGAGAGGGACTTGCTGCCCTGCGAGCGCAAGCCTGCTGTGCTGGTGAAGATTGCCCCTGACCTCACCATGCAGGACAAGCAGGACATCGCTAGCGTCATCTGCGAGGTGAGGAGGCGGGAAGAGGAGGCTGGCAAGGAGCTGGGCTGGTGTGCCTCCTGCCTCACCTCGCACAGCATGGGGACAGGGCTGTGGTGCTCCTGGCAAGTCACCTCTCTGAAGGGACAGGCGGACCTGCAGCTCTCTTGCTGCCATAGGGGCAGTGTCCTCGGTAGCTCTGAGTCTGCGAGGGCCTGTGTGTGTCACCCAGACCGTGGGGACAGTCCAGGCAGTGAGGGGCAGCTGCTTTGTCCCCAGGCGCATTGCTGGGGCACTTGTCGGGGGGGGGTCCTGGCCTGGCAGTCTGGGGATGAGAGTGGGGGGCTGCTCATGGCAGCTGTGTCCTCATGCTGCTGCCCCTCCTCAGCTAGGTGTGGATGGGCTGATTGTCAGCAACACCACCGTGAGCCGCCCCAGCAGCCTCTGGAGCGGGCAGCACACAGAGCCTGGGGGCCTCAGTGGGAAGCCCCTGCGGGAGCTCTCCACGCAGACCATCAGGGAGATGTACTCCCTCACCCGAGGTAGGGACAGAGCAGACCTTGGGGTGCGTGCTGGTGTCGCCCGTGCTGTCCTGACCCTGCACCTGCCCACAGGCCAGGTGCCCATCATCGGGGTGGGTGGGGTGAGCAGTGGGCGTGATGCCCTGGAGAAGATCCGTGCTGGAGCCTCGCTTGTGCAGATGTACACGGCGCTCGTGTACCACGGGCCACCAGTGGTGGGGGCAGTGAAGCGGGAACTGGAGGAGCTGCTGAGGTGAGTGAGAGGCCAGGCACCTCCCCAGGGAGCCCCTGGGCCCAGGGTGGCTCTGGGCAGCCGTGTGCTGATGCGTGAGCAGTGGTACCGTGGGGCCGAGCCTCAGTGCCAGGCCGGCCTAGCCATCACACACACTCCCTGGTTAGGGAGCAGGGGTTCAAGAACGTCATGGAGGCAGTTGGAGCAGATCACCAGTGCTGACACGCTGCAGAACCAAGGCCTAGCCAGGATGAGCCGTGGGCAAGCAGGGACAGGTCTGACACTTCCAGTGCTGGGCAGGCTGGGACTGAGCTGAGGTCCTGGTCCTAGCCCCTGAGAAGGGTCAGTGATGGGTGAAGCTGGGGCTGCGCTGGTGGGGAGCAGGGGAGGGGGTCTCCACACTGGCTTTCCTGTGGATTGGGCTCCCCAGCAGAAACCAGCGCTGAGTAGGGCTCTGCTGGGTGGTGAGGAAGGCCCCTGAGGGGATAGCCCTGCGGGCTGTAGGCAGTCCTGTGCCCTGGCTCCTGCTGCAGTGCTTCCCCGTGGAGGGCACACCTTCCCTGGTGTTACTGCCCAGAGCCACAGGCCAAGCAGTGTATTGGGTGTCCCTTCTGCCAGGGACCCCGCAGCCCGTGCTACCTGCTCAGGCTGGTGCTTGGTCCTCCTGGACTGCAGCCTCTGCAGGAGGCAGTCCCTGCCCTCCTCCCCTCGGCATGCGGTCCTGTAACAAATCTGCAGGCCCTGGGTCCTGCCTGACTGTCAATAAACGTTTGGCTCACCTGGTCCTGTGTGCTGCTCTGGGGACACCCCTTGGGTCAGAGGGATACAGCCTGGCTCTCCTCAGCTGAGTGGGATCAGCTCTCTTTGTGTTGTTCCTGGTCAGTGCATCTTCTCCTTGTGGTAGAAACTGCAGGGTAGCTGGGCTCTGGGATGGATCCACGCAAAGCTCACCAGGGCTCCCCTCACAGGGACCTCTGCCTGAGGCTGGGCCCTTGGGAGCTGCTGGGCACCATTTCTTCCTTCTGCTGCTGCTATGTCGATGTTTGGAGACAGCTGCGGTTATGCCCTGTCACTTGTTATGGAAAAGCCCTGTTCATTCATGCTTCTGGAGGCTGTCAGTTTTGTCTTTGGGGCCTCCGGCGTTGACTGCTGCTTTACCCCAGACTCCCTGCGGTTGTCTCAGGCCTTTCTTGAGCAATACGGCTTGACCTGGACACAGTGTTCCCTCTGCAACCTCTCACAGTTCACCCTGCAGAGCAGGATTGCATCACAGCACTTCATCAAACGTGTTTATAGGAGGAGCAGGACTGCTGACCCCGCTCTCAGTGGCCCTTGGCTCACATCAGGGCTGTCACCCGCCTGCTCTCCTGCTTCTGCAGCCCTCTGCACCAGCCTCTGTTTTTCCTAGATTCTCTGCTTCGGACAGGTGGTGCTTATTGCTGCTCTAACAGGGATGTGACCCGGTCCATTGGCCAAGGTTTTGATGTGCCTTGTCTGGAGAGGACCTGGGAGGTGCTTGCTCTCCCAGTCTGAAGGTGGCTGTCATACCTGTGGGAGTGTGAGCTTGAGTTTCACCTTGTCCCATGGCACTCTTGTCTGTGCTCTGCAGCTGGTTTGTGACTGTGGCTTGGAGACATTCAGTGCCTTGCACTGCCACAGCAGTCACTGGTGGCGTTGGCCTCGAGCATGGCCCTGCGCTGCTGTAGCCTGGTGCATGGGCTGTGGTCTGTGCTCCACGGGCAGGCTGGGACAGCTTCCCCCACCTTCCTGCAGGCAGTCCCTTTGTCCGAGCTAACCTTGAGGCTGCTGAGTGGGCACCAAGGCACAGTCACGTGTTGCTTTTTTCCCCCTGCCAGGGTATGGCAGTCTCCTGCGGAGGGACAAGCCTGCTGCAGTGGGACAGTGCTATCTAAGCCTGCTATCATCAAACGCCACAGCACCTTTCTAAGTGCTGGTGTGGTTCATAGAATCATTAAGGTTGGAAAAGACCTCTGAGATCATCGAGTCCAACCATCAACCCAACACCACCATGCCCACTAAACCATGTCCCTAAGCGCCTCATCTACACGTCTTTTAAATACCTCCAGGGATGGGGACTCCACC